GACCTGTCCAGGGTGTCCCCTGCCTTCGCCCTAAGTCGGCTGGGATAGGCTCCAGCCCCCCCGCGACCCTAATGAGGATTAAGCGGTGTATAGAAAATGGATGGATGGATGAATGATGAGATTGTGACGTACAACTAAACTGGCTCATGAAGCTGCTCTCACTGCTGATCTACACTTTAAAATTCATGATGTAAAATGTATTTATTTATTTCAAAGAAGCAGCTCATAACAGTGTCTGTAGAGTTCTACATTACATGACGTCATATTGAATGAATCAGTAAATGCTGCTGTAATTACATTTAAAATTCTTGTTTATGACTTTTAACATTACAAACTCACTGTTTCCTGATGGAGGCCCTTTGAAAGATCGCTTTGCTGTTTGTATTAATATTAGAGTTGATTTTCCTCTTTTGAAAGTCCTGTGAGCTGCTAATGGTGCAAAGACTGACAGCAAAGAGAGTTTTACTCAGTGAACTGGTGTGAACTCATTCTGGTCTGAGGGCTCCTCCTCTGGTGGCTTCATGCTACAAGTGTTCAGGCACTGAGGGGTTTTTGTTCAGGTCTACTGATGATTTGTGTCACTGTGTCTCTTCTGGCACACAACAGAGTCTTCAGGCTGCATGTTCTGTCCATTTAGAGTCACTGTGTTGCTGGAAGAATCGTCGTAGCCACTGAACTTGTGCTTTAGTGAATCTTTGAAGGTTTTGTCATAACCAATCCACTCCATTCCTTTCCCTGCAGGTTGTCTGATCCAGTGTGTTCGGTAGCTGCTCACAGAATAAGAAACCTGACAGGTGATGGAGAGACGCTGACCTGGCTGCACAGTCACAGAGGCTGGCTGTGTCAACTGTTCACACTCCACACCTGTAAAAAACAAACAGAAAATGCATTGTGACAAATTATCAGGTTCTATTGCAATAGAAGAACAAATGATGTTATAACAGACTCACGTCCAGCTGCAAAGAGCAGAAAGAGAGCAAACACAAACATGGTTTATGGTGAAACTGTGGTGCTGTGAACTCCACTCTGCAGTCTGATGTGCAGTTTTTATAGCTGAGTAACAAAGGAGGCCACTGAGTTTGCATAGAATCCAACATGTGAAGCATCAGGGTTGATCTAAAAGGAGCCAGTATAAAGATGTAAACTGTGCAGCTCAGAAACATACTTTGAACACATCTGCTTTATATCATATTTGGATTTCAATCAGCTGTAATTCTTTGAAGTTTTAATCAATCAAACAACTGACTTTTGACCGTTACTGCAAACTATTTTATCAACATATAGCATTTTGAAACCATTTTTTTAAAGCATTAGTTTTGGTCAGATAAAACTATGGTCGTTCATGCTTTCACATATGTTTTTGCAATAGTTAGAACATTTTATTTTCATATGTGGTTGTAAGAAATAAAAATCCAATTAAACATCATCCAGTGTGGTTTAGAGTTAATAGAATTTTATTAGCTTCAGGTACATTTTTCTGCAAGAAGGAGGGAGGATATTTTTAATTGCATCAAACATTTTGCAGCATTAAAACCATAAATATATATGTTTTAATATTAACAAAACTACACGTAGATGAACAACAAAACAACAATAAATGAGGACATCATTATACTAGAGACTGTATTTTTATAAACCTGTTCCCTAAATAGTGTGTTCAGGTCAAGATGCAGCAACCTGACAAACAGATTTACTGAATAAGACATTAAGATATTGTTTACAAAATGTCCTTAAAATCTATGTTTTGTAATTATTATTTCTCAGGAATTACTTTTTAAAACACACAAAAAATATGTGTTAATTAAAACAACACAAACCAAAGAAAATGGACATAAACGCATTTACTGTATAGCTGGGGCCTGTGAATGTAGTAAGAAGGAGTCAGTAGGTTTTTGTGCAGCTGTTCAACCAACTTCAGTCACTGTGTCTCTCAAGCACAATAATAAACAACAGAATCTTCAGTCTTCAGACTGTTCATCTGCAGAAACAGCTGCTCTTTGCCGCTGTCTCAGGAGATGGTGAACCTGCCTTGAACTAACTGAGAGTAATATGTGCTGCCACCATTGCTGTTAGTAGCAACGATCCACTCCAGTCCTTTTCCAGGAGCCTGTCTGATCCAGGCCATCCAGTAGCTGCTGAATGATATTCCAGATGTTGTACAGGTCAGTCTGTGGGACTCTCCAGGTCTTTTAACTGCAGGTTCAGATTCTCGAAGAGTCTGACCATCAACACCTGTTGAGATAAAAATCAAACCAATCAGTGGCCACTTTTAAAACAGAAATGAAAATATGTCATCACAGCAGTAAATGTGTTGACCTGCCCAGCAGAGAGTTAACAGCAGCAGTGTTGTCCTGTAGTCCATCATGTTCAGCTGTGTCCACTGTGTTCTGTTGTCCTCTCTGCAGACATAAGTAGAGGTGGAGGACGTGCATTTTGCATCGACTCCATCTCACTGGGAGGATACAACTAGACTGAGCTTGAACTGTAGTTTGTTTGTGGTAAAACCTGAAAATTAATCGATCAGTGGAATGTTTGACCCTCTGAACCCCAGAAACCCACCAGCTGCTTTGAAAGGCCTGTTGTCTTTATAAAAGCGACAATATTAAACCATTTATCAGAGCTGGACAGTGAAACAATAGAGAATTGTTGGAGTTTTGAACTGTCCTTGTTCTGATCCTCTGTTGGATGTTGTTCTGGTTGGAAACATGAACCAAATCTCATCATAAAACCATTTTATTTCATTGATGTCATTTTATTTTGCATCTTGTTACATTTGTAACAAGAAAATCATTTACAATTACCACATCCTGTTTAAAATAAAACATGAAATACAATGCTCCTCGTTCACAAGAGAGACTCTCAGTGATTCAGTTGCAGCCAACAGTCATGTGACAACAATTCAGGGACTTTTCAGCTGAACTACAGGCTGTGTTTATACACTATATGGAAATAAATGAAAGTCTGTAAGTAGTAAAATATGTAGTATGTGGAGTCACCAGTTGTTGTTTTTTCCAGTATTGGTAAAAACCTGTGGACAATTAGACAAATGTTAAATATGTTAATTCCAGGTCAATTTTTGTAAAATGCATAATCAAAGACATTCAGCTTTCAAATATGATTATTTTTTAATGTGTGAAATTAGAAATTTGACATTTTGCACAAAAGACAGTTCTCAGTTCTCCTCTGTCTTGGTTGTTCTGTTTCTATGGATGTGCAGGACTTGAGATGGCAGTGAAAATGAGTCCACGGTGAATAAAAATATGACAGGAGAACACAAAGTATCAGCAACTGACAGGGATTGAGTAAATGTTGTGAGCATCAAATCTTTGCTTCATGTTTGTCTGAAACGGTGCATCAGAGCTGTACTTGCGTTTTAAAACGACATACAAGGTGTTAATATATTATTTTATTCTGCTGGTTAGAAAACCCAGATGTTATTATGACGACTCCGTGCACTTGCTGTCTGTGGAGGTTTTTGTGCAGCTGCTTCACTGTCTTCAGTCACTGTGGTGACGAGCACAGAAGTAAACAGCAGAATCTTCAGCTGTCAGACTCTTGATCTGCAGGTACTGAGCGCTGCTGGACACATCCTGAGTCAAACTGAATTGACTTTGAAAGGACCTTGCATAGGCAGCATTTGCTGTATTTGTGCTCATCACCCCAATCCACTCCAGAGCTTCTCCTGACTTTTGTTTTATCCAGCTCACAGCATAACTTGTCATCCTATAACCAGATGTGATACATGAGATCTTCACTGTCTCTCCAGGTCTTTTCACCTCAGATGGAGACTGCTCCAGTCTGATCTCACTCCAGACGTCTGGAAGCAAAGTAAAGACATCATCACCCAAAAATGTAACATTTAAAAATGCACTTTAACTTCGTAGCTGCAGAATTTAATTTCTCACCATGAATATTGACGAGAAATAATAAAATCCAGGCGGCTGCGTAATTCATTGTGAAAGCTTCCAACTGTTCAGATGATCAAAGTCTTTCTCAGACTTATGAGACTGTGTCAGTTGTTCTGCCTCATCTGACAGTCAGTGATGGTGAGTTTATGAAGAGGAATAAGTTTGCATAGACCTCCCTCTGCAGGCTGGAACAGGAAGTATGTAAAAACAGGAGGGGGACTTCTGCTGGTGTTGTGAAAAACTGCTAAATGTTGGATCCATTGACACAAGATATTGTTTTGTAAACATGCAACATGATTTTAAAATGCAAACATATATAGATGACAGATGCTGGTATGTTTAGTTACACAGTAGATTACAGTGTACTCTGTATATTTTTGAAAACATCACCCCTCAGGAATATTCTGAAATGCATTAAGCACATGATGTTCAGGATCTCTTCCTCTCTTCAGCCCTCATCTCAGGATGTTTCTGCTTTTGAAACTGAACCACAGCTTTCTGCTCTTCTTCACCACGATGCTTGACTCAACAGCAGACTAGAAAACAGCTTATCAGCATCAAGAACTGCAACTCTGCATGACTACTCTCCCCAAAAACCTCCTCCAGGCTGCTGTACTTAGTCCTCTGCTCCTCATCAGTAATGTTCTGGTGCCACTGATGTCCGTCTGTTCACTAAATCTATAATCAGTACAATTCTCTTTGTGACATTCGCCCACAAGCCTTTAATAATCTTTAACACTGACCTCTCAGTCAAATACAAAGAGGCTCTCATCACTGCAACTTCTGTTAAGTGGTAAACTGCTGTAAAAGCCCTAATGGTGGGTTTAAATGTAGATGTTAGTGATAAACGGGTTCCTCAGCAGCGCTACTGTTCTGTCAGTGTTGACAGAGCTGAGAGTTATTTTTGTAGTTTAGTTATTCTCATGATTCTTTTTGTAAATAGTCAGTTTGTGTAAATGATTTTCTGGAAATCGCATCTATATTGACTGTTAATGGGGTGTGAGATGGAAAACCAGCAAGAATAAGTTCTGTTCTGATGACATTAGTGGTTGTTAAAGCTAAAACTGAACATAAACTTTGACAACATTTATCTGAATTAAAATGATCAGCAGGTATGACTTCATGATGCATCTTAAAATGTGACTCTGTTTGGAGGAATACTGGCCTTGACATTTATGAAACAGGTTCATAATGCAGGACACTAAGTTAACTGAATGTTTCCAGTGTTTGTGGTAAATAGAGGAAGTAGTTTTTGTACGAAGCTTCTATTTCTGTCTCTCGCTGTGTGTCTAGCACAGTAATACACTGCTGTGTCCTCAGACTGTTCATCTGTAGATAGACTTTACTGCTGGAATCGTCTCTGGAGATGGTGAATCTACCCTGGACTGACTGGGAGTAATAGATATAAGAACTGCCTGTGTGCACAAAAGTGATCCACTCCAGTCCTTTACCAGGAGCCTGTCTGACCCAGCTCATATGGTAGCTGCTGAATCTGAATCCAGAACCTGTACAGGACAGTGTGTGGGATTCTCCAAATCTTTTAACCACTGAATCAGATTCAGTCAGAGTCTGATCTTCAACACCTGCTAAAACATTACATCTGATTTAAGTTTTGAACTTTATGGGAACCTTATCTGAAATGACAAATGTCCTTAAAACATTCTTTGATTCTTTCTCTACCCAGGGCAAAATTATTACTGAGCCCTTAATGATAATGAATGGATAATGTTTAAAGCAACTTTAAATTATATGACTTGTTACGACAATTTCTTTAATAAATAAATAAATAAATAATAAAAGGAAAACCCTCGTAATGAGGACATTTCTGTGTTGTGGGGGCATTTTATCTGGGCCTCACAACATCAAACACCTGCTTGAGGGTTATGACTTTTGATTTGAACTATTGATTTAAAAAAAAAAAAAAAAAAAAAAGAAAGGTGAGCTTTTACAGAATTGAATTTCCCTTCTGGGATGAATAAAGTATTTTTCATTTCATTTCATGACCTCCCAGAGACTAAAAAAAAAAAAAGACACCTGTGTGCATCTGTATCTGATCATTTTGCCAATATTCATTATTTAAAGAACAAACAAATCAAATGGAAAACATTCATTCACGTGTCAGTATGGTATTTTATTTATTATTTCACCAAATGGTCACTTAAGAAGACCTGTTTACTTGTCACGTGAAAAGTAATGTTTTCTGTGGCATTTTAACTTCTACATCTTCTTCCTACAGGGGGGGACAGCGAGCAGTGATGCTTCATTTTTCACACACTCAACACAGAGCATTTAATGCCACAATACATTTAGAATATTATTACTGTTGCAGTGCTCTACAGTGGTATCTGTTCAGTACTGTGTTCTTTTTCAGCAACCTCAGCCACATGAGCGATTGCATCCATGTGGTTCTGTAGGCCGAGCTCCAAGCAGCGCGAAAGGGTCAAGCTGGCTTTGGGGTGGACTTTTATCTGAACGTGTTCGGAAAGCATCTTCCAGTGGTGGCTCCTCATTGCTGGGTTTCTCAGGCTCCGAATTAGAGGGACATAAGAACGGAAGTCCTCAATCCTGCCGTGGATTACAGTTGCTGCTTTTTGACAGCCTGTGTTGTGTAAGACACAGACAGCAACTGATGAGACAACAGATGAGTCACATCTCAGTTTGCCTAGTTTGAGTAGTAATTGATGTGCCACCTACCAGGAATGTCCTCGAGCTGTTTAATACATCTGCGTAAGGTCTTGAGGGCATCACTGATGTGGCACTCAAGCTTTTGAAGGTCAATTGAAGACAGCGGGTTTCTGAGCCACAAGTCACTGCACTCTAGCCAATCAGAAGTGGTGATCCAAAGGTCTTGGAAAGGCTGGAGGTCCTCCACCAGCTTCTGCACACGATCATACTGTAGTACACATTAGCATTTCTTTCTTCGTCAAAGCATGACAAATATATGTCCTTGTCATTTTTTAAAACTTCTGGAATGGGTAAATTACACAAAAGCCCTTGGACCTTTCACTTACGTTTGTAACAGGCACACCAAGCAGACGTTCTCTGGTGTTGATTGTTTGGGCCGTAGTCTGGCACTCCTGAAGTTGCTTGCTAAAATGTTTAACCTTGTTGGCCATCTGGTGGGCACGATCAATGTCCGAGTGTCTCACAAACCCAACAAAACGCATCTATAAACACAGTGGTGGTGCTTTAAAACCAAATAACATCAGCATGATTTGCTAAACCTAAAAACTAGACACAAAGAGTGGTCAACTTCCAGAGTGGACTGATGAACAGAAGAAAATCGACTTTAGTCAGCAGACCTCCAGAAAGTTCAGTTGCTCCGCGAAGTTGTTCCAATGAACTCGATGGCGCTTGCGGAAGTGCTCCTCATCCTCCACATGCTGGAAGGCTACTAATTCCATCTGGCTGATTATCCTTTGGGGCCACCCAATAGCCATCCACCTGCACAGAAAAGCCACTTAAATGGTTTCCACTTGAACTACTATGAGCCCAACAACAAATCATGCGACAGCATATCCCACATGACACCTAAAATAAATGTCATATTAGTTTTTAAAAAGTAGGCGTCAGCATGATGATTATACACTTACTTTTTGTGAAAATCCTCATTCGATAGGTTGTAGCAAAATTCTTCGAACAGCTCATATTCTGGCAAGATCTTGTCAAGACACTCCTGTTGTTTATAGATTGGAAAAATATGTAACAACCCGTCATGGAATATATATATATATATAAACAGAAATATCCACTTCATCCCTTTATTCTGCACCTCGTAACTCTTGAGCAGCTCTGGGATTTGTTTCATCCATTCCCTCATTTCAGTCAGTTCCTCAATGCTGTTGGGTTTCTCACATAGCTTTCTGCTTATATTGTAACACTCTTCACAAGCCTAAACGCAAATTATAAGCACTCATGATGCAGGATGAAAATCAGCACAAAATAATTTATAAGATGAAATAAATGTGAGTACTTTATAAAGACAATTATCAAAACACTTTCTAACACAAGACTCATATAATATATATGTTATTAAAGTAACAACTCACATTATCGATCTGACTGCTTAGCTTCACAACAAAACGGTCCAGCAGTGCATTGGCTAAAGCCTTTCTTTTTTCTGTGAGAGACTGACGTACAGCCTCTACACAGACAACAAATGGACCAATTACAATTGAAGATGGCAAGGAGAGTTCAATCCTATCCTTTTCTTTGAGATGTTGTTCCACTTGTTTCTTCAGCTCTTGGGATGTCTGTTCTACATTATGAGATCTGGCAGCCAAATGATAGATTCACAACAGAAACAAGGCAAGATTTCATTCAACAGGACACACAGTCAGAACAGACCACCAATCAGACTGACTCACATCCTCCCACTCAAGAGGGAATGGATAGATTTTTGACATATAATTTCAAACACAAACTTACTTGAGAAGAGTTTCTATATCCAAGTTGTGAAGCTCTAAATGTTTCTCATATTCAGCAGCATATGCCTTGAGAGGTATAGCTGCTTGTATCAGAGCATTGCGGATCTTTTCTCTCAGCTCCGTTACTTCTGGTTCCCACAAAGCGACTGACTCGACCCACAGATCATTAGCAAAAACCAAATTCTGCATCACAAACTGGTATGGAAAGAAAAACAAAACCGTTAAATCTTCAGCATTATTCTCACTTATAATACATGTGTCATTATCATCCCCCATGAGTTCTTTAGCAATAATTTTTAAAAATGTTTAATTAATTGACATTACTGAGTAAGAATCTGTTTTCATTTTGACACAGAAGTCATTTCTGTAAATTCTTTTTAAATTGAGCAAATTAAATTTAGCATGATTCAATGTTGAAATGCAATAAAAAATAGAAACTTTCCAGTTGATGAATAATTTTCATAGACACTGTATGTGTATTTTCATTTTTAGCTTAACGCTGTGTGACTCAAGTGATTGCTCATTTTATTTTACCTTATCAAACTGTGGTATGCTGTATGTGACCTGAATGCCTTTATCAAACAGGTCGACAAAAGATGTCGCAAAACTCTCCAGAGGAGTGCTGTAATGAACCCCAGTCTGGTCTAAAACCAAATCCAATAGGAACAGAGGATTCTTCTTTGGCCTAGATAACAATAATGGAGAAATATAACTGACATAACATTAAATATTTTCATAAGCACAGTAATCAGTTATGTCGCACTGAATATCACACACTCACTAAAACCAAGTCGAAAATGTATAACTGATCTGAATATGTGTTAAGAAATTATGGAAATTTGTGCAAGAAAATGCAAGCTATCCTACTTGTAGGGGCTGGTGAGGAGGTTGTCCTCCCAGACCAGGTCCTGAGGACACGTCAGCACACTGTGGCAGGCGTCCAGCACCAGCTGAGTCAGACTGACCAGTGAGTCCTGCACCAGGTGACGCAGAGAATCCTGCTGGTTGAAACGAACCACAAGCATCAGCTTGTACAGCTTGGACATCTTGTAAATGTCCCACCTAGACTCCATCATGTTGTACCAGCCTTTGCCAATATTTATCAGGTTGTGACAAATGCTGCGACTCAGCGTGGCTGTCCATTTCTCTCTGAGAAAAAGGCTTATCTGGAGAAGAAGAAGAATTTATCTTAAGCACTTTTTAACTCATTTCATTGGTAAACTGTGCTATCAAAGTGAAATTTATTGTTATAAATATTATTTTGTTATCAAAAGAAAGGGCACCTAAACACTCACTGCTACTGTACCTGATAATGAATTTCAGACTGGATGTCTTTAAACTTCTCCAATCGAAAGGGTTTGACCGAGCCGACATCGAACAGCGTCATGGCTACGACTTTGTTGCACTCAGACCGCATTTCAGATAATACGTGGATCACTTCTGTCTTTGATAGAATGGTTCTTTTGACAAATGCATTTCGGGTCTCTTCATAGTCAAAGTGAGGAACTGAAACGCAGCCTGTACATGTAAAACAAACCAGGATCTAGATTGTATGGGTGGACGCCACATACTGGATGATAGTTTCTTCATCTCGGGGCAAATATAAACGACTGTTTACAAGGAGAACATTCCTACCAGTTTGTGGTACACACTCAGGGTTCTTCTGAGGCAGGGTGATGTCTGGAAACTTCTCAGGTTGGCTCATCACCATTTTGTCAAAGATCATGCTCTTCATAGTCCGATCATATCCCAGTTTGATCTCCTTCTCCAAGTCCTCCATACACTTCTCCAAACTGCACACATAATATTCCTTTCATTTACCCAATTAGCCAACATTTAAACTCAGAAGAATCTACCATAAAACAGATCATTCCAAAGAAGGAGAAAATGACATCATCAGCTCACTTTCTTCGCCTGAGCCCAGGAGCTGATAGGGCGCGTCTTTTAATGCGCTCAAGATGGTCAGTGCTGAGAGTTGGTGTTCCTGGCCACATGGGCATGTTGTCCACAGATGAGTGGTAGAAGAGCAGCGCCTCTGTGTTCTCCCTGTAACGCAGGGCAAACTGGATCCGTTCAGCAAAGACACGTGGGTCCTCAGCCTGGAACAACAGCCGGATCCTGGGTACCCAGTATTTACTGCCTGCTACCAAGTGGTTTATTCCTATTCAGCAGAGTGATTGGAAGCATACATACATGGTCACGGACAGCAGAGACAGAGAGAAATTCCAACATAATATTGTGTTGTTACATTGCAAAGACTTAAAAAAACAACAACAACAACAACAACAACCAGGGGATTTACCCTTTCTGTGTTTCTTATTTGGATTTTCTTCCTCATCTGTCTGTCCACTGTTCTGGTGAACCTTCTGTACCAGGTACTGACATTTCTCCTTGCTATAGTCCAGTACCCCAACTACATGCCAGCTGCATTTCAAGGGTGGACTCTGTGGGTCATCTTCAAAAGAGAAAGAAGAGGGCCATCGTCAAAGAATAGAAGAAAAATGTCCAATTATGTTTACTCAGAAAACAGGGACATTTTACCAGAAGGGGTCTCATTATCTGTAGGCAGCAGGGCTTTTGCAGGAATAGGTTTCCGATTAGGTGATCCCTCAGCATTTCCCAAAGCAAGCCAGTCTTCTGGTGTCCAGCAGTCATACTCCTCATTGTCAAATAGCTCAAGAAAAAAACATGGGAAAGATGTGAAATGAGAACTGT